CTTCTCTCCCGCTCAGGGCAGGGTGCCCTTTGCCGTGCCTGACAAAGTGCTGTGGCCGCAGCTGTGTGAAGCGCTCAACATGAAATTCAAGGCCGAAGTGCAGAGCAACCGGGGCCTGACCAAGGAGAACCTCGTGTTCCTGGCGCAGAAGCTGTTCAGCAGCAGCAGCAGCCACCTGGAGGACTACAGCAGCATGTCCGTGTCCTGGTCCCAGTTCAACAGGGTGAGGCCCCCCCCCAACACCCCCGCCCCCCCAGCTGCTGGGAGGGAGACCAGTCCCTTCCAACCAGACCCTGCAGGAGCCTCCCTTCCCTTCCCGGCCCTCGGGCTTCCTGTCTCTAATAAAATGCGCCTGAAGCAACAGGAAGCTCCTGAATAGACAACGACATGTTTTTTATGTAGAAAATCACGTCTTTGCATATTTAAGTAAACGGGGCTTTGTGTGAAGCTGGTGCCTTTTATAAAGGAAGCAGAGCCGGGAGAAGTGCAGCTTTGGCGATGATCAGAACGTCACGGCTCAGCCCCGCTGGCTCCGATGTCCCCTGGTGTGTGATGCGAAGTCAGGCTCCCGTGGACCCTCAGCCCACCCAAGCGGCTGCTGATGGAGGGCCCTCTTCCTCTAGCATCTGCTCATCCAGATGTCCTCTGTCCCATCTTTGATTTGAAATTTAACATTTTTCTTTTTACACTGTCACCCCCGCCTCCACCCCGGGGTTTTAAGTACCCTCATTCAGAGATCTCACAGTCTCTGAGTCTAAATCTTTTAAGTGGCTGTGTGTTAACCAGTTGGCCGACGTGTTGGCTGGCAGTCAGGGGTGTTTTGATAGGGGAAGCAGAACTTTCACTAGAATCCGGTAACTGCATTCTGCTGATCATTCTTGGCGACTACTGTGTGCTGGAGCAATCTCTGTGGCCTTGTGATCTAATCCAGTTCGAATTTACAAGCCCCCTGGGCATCTGGCTAAGATGCAGACGCTGATTCAGTGGGTCTGGGATGAGGCCTGAAAGTTTGCATTTCTCAGGAGCTCTTGGGCGCTGCTGCTGCTGCTGGTCCCAGAGTCCACATCAAAACCAGCAAAGGACGGCCAGCCCAGGGGCAGGTGTTCGCAGGCCGGGGGTGGGCATCGCTCTGTGCTGTTTTGCCCTGTTTCCTTCTTTTCTCCTCTATCTTGTTTTTTGTTGTTGTTGTTGCAGGACCATTTATTGGGGAAAACTCAGGCAGGTCTCTATATTTGTATGATCCTGACAGTGTACGTGTTTGTTTTCCATTTGGTTTTTCCAGTAAAAGTAGATACAGGTACTGTTCCGAGTGTCACCCCTGCCTTCTTGTGTTCATTGTTGTGTCTCCAATCAGGAGAATTTACCAGGACGGAATTACACTTTCTGGCAGTGGTTCGATGGTGTGATGGAAGTGTTAAAAAAGCATCTCAAGCCGCATTGGAATGATGGGTGAGAATCATCATTTCTTACGTCTGCCATAAAGTAGGAAGGTTGTCTTCCTACGGTTTAAAAAAATAATAAATCACGCTCTGCTTCTGCTCCTTTGACCTTTGTGATCCAGGGCTATTTTGGGTTTCGTGAATAAGCAACAGGCCCATGATCTACTCATTAACAAGCCCGATGGGACCTTCCTGCTGCGATTCAGCGACTCTGAAATTGGCGGGATCACCATCGCGTGGAAGTTTGATTCTCGTGAGTGCCCCTCCCCTTTTACGAGGAGAAGCCAGAGGGCCTCGCCCGGTTAACTGCTTTTGTTGCAAGATCACGTTGACGTACACTTCAGCGCGTCCGTATTATTTGCTGAGGCCGGTGCTGATTGTGGGAAGCACAGATGTAGACCCAGGACAGAGCTGCCGATGTTACCAGAGCCTGTGTCAGATCTTGTTACGGGAAACACAAGCACAGTGGGGCCTCGACTTACGAGTTTAATTCGT